TTGGTACAAACTTTTTAAAAAATTTTTTTTTAATGGACATTGTTTGTTTTTTTACAATCAATATGTAAATTAATGTAATTTTTTAATGATTTTGTTGGATATAATCTGCAAATTAAAAATATGTACAAACAGGCCAAAATGTAAAGTTTTACAAATGTTTGATTGTAAAATTAAACATTTTTTACTGTATTTCAATCTTCAAAAAAAAATCACCATTTATGTTATCTATATTTTAATAAACACATACATGTAGCTTTTTTGAGTCTTTATTACCCGTAATGTTGCAAAATTGAGAAAATCTGTAAAATAACAGTTGAAAATGAATATACTTTTTTTTTTTTCAAATAAAAAATATGATTTTCAATGTCATTTTAAAAAGGAATTTAAAGTAAAATTTTGCAAAACAACAATTTAAAAAAAAAAGTATATTTACAGGTTTGAGCCATTTTAAAATAAAATAAAATAATAAAATAAAATGTGTTGTAATAAAATGTTTTGTGACTTTGCTGGTTGATGAGAAAAATCTGTAAAATATCAGTAAATTACTCAAAACATACAATAAAAAATGTTTTAAAAGTCCATTTCTTGCAGTGTGAGCAGCCTGTCAACATGTCTGATCGATCTGAAGCTGCCGGTAACCTGCGCTTCGACCCGTAAACTCGGTTCAGACGCTGCGCTGCTGAAGCGGGCCGTTGCTTTATCTCATCAGCTGATTTGCATTGGAGGTGATGTGAGCCTGAAGCTGCCGCAGTGCAGACGGCCGTCCACACCCAGAGCTTCCTCCTCTGAGGATGATGTCGCTCTGACCGGACAGCGTGCTCGCTGTTTACATCAAGCCTCCAAAAGCAAAGACGCCACATATCTAGTGTAAACATCCACAAGGTGCCTTTGACACAGCGGGAAGGTGGAAGTAGGTAAAAGGGATTTGACCTCCAGCCAGCGGGTTAAAAAAAGCCACAGAGCTGGTAGTAAACTCAACACCCGGGTCTCCTGGAGACAAACACAACAAACGCTGCTGCTGATCCTCTGGACCTTAAAGGAATCTGGGACTGAACTCATGACTGAGAGTCCGTCCTGGGTTCCGTCAGCAGCCGTTTATATCAGCGCTGACACACATTTTGTGTTTTTATGGTGTTCAGCCAAACGATGAGTTCGTTGTTTCACATCAGGACAGATTATCAGCAACACCATGACCCGGGTTTAACGCTGATACCACACATCTGCTGTTAAACTTCAGACCCTTTACGTGAGTTTAGCTTTAATCGGTTGGTGCTGATTGGCTGTAGCGTGTGGCATGTGACCAATCAGCAGCGCTGTGGGCGGGGCATTCGACATATAAGGACATGTGGCTGCATCAGGTTAAAACATTAGACGAGTACCTGGAAAGATGCTGGATTTAATTAAATATCATGCAATATGAATGATAAACATATTTTAAATCCACACAGGAGCTGCAATGATTAATCAGATACTCGAGTAGTTGACGACTTTTTTTGTCGTCAGCTATTTTAATAATCGATTAATCAGTTTCAGGTCTAAGTTCTCGTAAATGTGAATATTTTCTGTTTATTTCCTCCTCTGTGGACAAAACAAGACGTTTTGTAGAAACACTGAAGGAAAAATAAACTGATCGATTAATCGAGGAAGTCATCAGGAGATTAATGAGAAACTGGATTGTTGGGCCGTCAGCTGCTCTCCTTAGTTAGTAATTTATAGACAAGAGAACAGCAGAAATTAGTCTTTAGTTTCTTATAATAATAATAATAATAATAATATTGTTTTAATAGAAAAATCCGTCATGTCTTATTTATAATAATGTGAAAGTTGGCAGCCGGTTGCAGTGAGTTTCTGAGAAGTCGGAGGATTTTACTGAGTGGATTTAGAGATAATAGGTTATGTAATATTGATTTAGTTTAATTTAAT